GGATGTGTGGCACTCCAGAATCAAGGTCACTGTGGTGACAGAACAAACATGAGAGGCAGCGTGATATTCCATTTCATTGGAGTACGTGCCTGTAGACCTAGGGAAACACAGTGCATGCAGAGCACATCTTCTGTGCTGCCTTCCAGCTATGCTTGAGTAACTACCAACTCAGTGCAGCATAATGCACCAGGCCCTGGGTTGCACTTGTAGAATTATACATGGCTTTCAACACAGCTCTTGAAAACGGGACAATAAATGGCATGTGATAAAATGCAGCAAATTTGTCAGAATAGCACATTAGACAACTATCTAAAAAAAAAAAAAACAGGGATTATTAGTAAATCAGAAGTTGTAGGCTTAAGGGAATGCAGTCTTTTCAAGATGCAGTTTTGGAACTCATCTATTCAATCTTTTTTCAGTAAAGATCTCAGACAGAAAAAAGAAAAAGAAAAAAAGGTTACACTGATAAGGTTCAAGAGTGAAACAAAGTAAAGAGGCCTTGTGAATATAAACGGTGACCAAAACATCATAAAAGAAAAAGGTGTCATTATGGATAGGCATAATAGCAATGGAATTAAATTAGTAAGTTCATAGTAGACTTATCCCATCATGGTTAAAAGGGATATCCATCTGTGCACAGCCCAACCTCTCATTTGAATCAGGACTATCAAAAATACAAGGTCAGATCTGCATGGAAGCCTTGCAAGGTAGGAACTCAGCCCATGTGAGTAGCTTTTTCTAGTGTTGCACTGCTCTCCTGATGGAGAATTTTTTTCCAAGTCCACTCTGAATGTGTCGAGCTGTAATTGTGGAAATTGTTCTTATTCTATTGTCTGCCACTATAGAAGCATTTGGCTTCATCGTTTTTATCCGCTCTTCAGATAGCAGTACTGTGCAGTTAGAAAGCCTTACCCTACTCATGGATTGAGAAGTGGCTGACAGGCAGAGCTCAGAGCGCTGTGATTAGCAGTGCAGAGTCTGGCAGCAGTCCTGAAACTGGCAGTGGTCCCTATGGGTCGGTGGTGGGTCTGGTCTTGTTCAACATCTTCATCACTGACCTGGATGAAGGGATGGAGTCCACCCTCAGCATGTTTGCTGATGGTACAAAGCTGAGAGGAGTGGCTGACAGCTCCGAAGGCTGTGCTGCCGTTCAACAAGACCTGGACAGACTGAAGAACAGAGCAGAGAGGAACCTGATGAGGTTTAACAAGAGGAAGTGTAGATTCTTGTGCCTGGGGAGGAACAACCACAGCATCAGTACAGGTTAAGGGGATGACCTGCTGGAGAGGAACACTGAAGAGAAGGACCAGGGTATCCTGGTGAACAACAGGCTGGCCACGAGCCAGCAGTGTGCCCTGCTGGCCAAGAAGCCAATGGTATCTTGGGGTGCATTAAAAGGACCATGGACAGTAGATGAAGGGAGATGATCGTTCGCCTCTACTCTGCCCTGGTGAGGACACACCTGGAATACTGTGTCCAGTTCTGAGCTGTCCATTCCAAAAAGACAGGGATCATCTAGAGAGAGTCCAGTAGAAAGCCAAAAGATTAATAGCACCTGTAGCATCTCCTGTATAACGAAAGGATCGGAGATTTGGGACTCTTCAGCGTGGAGAAGGCTGAGAGGTGATCTTACCAATGTTTATTGGAAGTGTCTAATGTATCTAAATGTGCAGGGGGCAAATGGATGGACCCAGGCAAAAGGCAATAAGAGAAAACTTGAACACAGAAAGTTCCATACAAACATGCAAAAGAACTTCTTTATGCCCCATCCCTGGAGGCATTCAAGGCCAGGCTGGTTGTGGCTCTGGGCAGCCTGGTCTGCTGGTTGGCAACCCTGCACATAGCAGGGGGTTGGAACTGAATGGTCTTTATGGTCCTTTTCAACCCAGCCCATTCTATCATTCTATGATTCTATGATTCTTTACTGTGAGGATGACATCACTGGAACAAGCCACCCAGAGAGGTTGTAGAGTCTTCTTCTCTGGAGATATTTAGGACCCACCTGGATGCTTTCCTGCTCAACCTACTACAGGAAATCTTCTTTTAGCAGAGGGGTTGGAGTTGATGGTGTCCAGAGTTCCCTTTCAAACCAAACTATGATTCCATGATTCTATGACTCTGTGGTTCCATGGTTCCGTGATTCAATGGTTCTATGGTTCTATAGCTCTTTGATTTCCAGGCAAAGCAAGCACTATTTCTTTAGCCTGTCCTTATATATCATGTGTGCCATGTCTCTGTGTCCTACAGTTTTTCAATATCCCTCATGAATGGATGGAGACAAAAATGTACCAAGGAGACCAGGTTCAGCTTCATCACATCCCAAGCTGAGGAGCATAATTATTCTTTTGATGTGCTGCTCACCTTTTTGCTGAAGTTGGTGAAGTATTTGGTTTGCCATGTTTGCAATGATAGCATACAGATTCTTCATTCATTGCCTACTCCTGCCTTTGTGTTCTTTTCAACAGGACCTGCAGCTCATCCAGTTGATGCACAGTCTGTACCAACTATGGCATTGTTCTGCCTCAGGTACAGAAATCTACTTTTATTGAACTTACTGTGGATTCTGCTGATTCAGTTTCTGAATCAAAGTTATGCTGTGCAACATATTAGATGTCCTTCCTAGTGCCATCTGCAGCTTTGTACTTTGTGTGGTCATCCATCATGAATAAAAACACTGAAAAATACTGGCTCCCAAATCAAAGCTTGGCATACTCCAGTGACTGCCAGCCACTACCCTACATTGAAATATCTACTGCTACTCTGTGAGCCCAGAAGTACCACTTTTCAGTCCCCCTAATGCTCCATTCATTCAGCACATACTTCTTCTCTGGTTATAAATGCAAATCCTGTGGGAGACAACATGGAGGTACTTTTCATCCATTGCTCTCCATCCATTCGGCCGGTAATTCTGTCATAGAAGGCAATCAGGCTGGTCTAGCACAAGTTGTGCTATATAAATTTACTGTTCCTGCTTGCTTCTTTGTTCTCCACGTGTTCAGAAATGGATTGCAAGATGATGTGGTCCATGATTTGACACTGAAACACTGATGGTTCTGAGTTCTTCCTTGCCTTTCTTAAAAGAGAGTGTAATGTTAGCTTATTTCCAGTCACCAAGGATATCTCCAAAACCATTTTTCATATTGCAGCTTTGCACTAACATCAACAAGCTACTAAAAGGACCATCAGCCCTATGTATGTGATTAATTTAGGAAACAAACAAACAAACAAACAAACAACAACAACAACAAAACTCCAACGGTAGATAAAAATAAAGAGAAGTAAACACACAGTAGCTAAACTAAGGCTGAAATCTCACTGTTACACTTGAAACAGCTGAAGGACTGTAATGGCTGCCCCACTGGGAGTCAGCCCAAGACTCCTTTTAGCCCCAGAGCAATCTCCGAGGGTAGCTACAAAGAGTTGCACAGGAAGGTGTGGAAGAATAGGAGAAACGTGTGCTACATTTCACTTCACTGCACTCTGACCCAATTTGTTGTAACTCACAGAGTTCATGACCTGGAGGCAGCTTCTTCTGTTCAGGAGCCCTCAAAGAATTTCTCTTCTGTGAACTAATCCAGACAGCCCTTGAGCCAATGCAAATTTTGAGCATCCATAGCATCCTATGGCAAAGAGTTCCCCAGGTCCATGGGCCCTCATGTGAAGCATCACCTTTCTTTCAATCTTGGCTTCGGTTTGCCACACTTCATGCTTCTTTTATATTGGAAGAAGCAGTGTATGAACTGAATCAGATCTGCGGAGCTGAGGGCCTCACAAGAGCTGAGCAGAGGGGAGGATCACCTCCCTCGCTCTGCTGGCCATGCTCCTTTTAATGCACCCCAGGATCCCATTGGCCTTCCTGGCCAGCAGGGCACACTGCTGGCTCATGGCCAACCTGTCGTCCACCAGGACCCCCAGGTCCTTGTCTGCAGAGCTCCTCTCCAGCAGGTCGTGTCCCAACCTCTACTGATACCTGCGGTTATTCCTTCCCAGGTGCAAGACTCAACACTTGCTTTTGTTACACCGATGAGGTTTGTTACTGCCCAGCACTCCAGTCTGAATGGCAGCACAGCCTTTTGGTGTGCCAGCCACTTCTCCCAGCTTTGTCTCATCGATGCATTTGTTGAGGATGGACACCTATGTCATCATCAAGGTTGAAGTTGAAGATATTGAACAAGAGTGGACTCAGCACTGACCCCCAGGGAACACTGCTGGTCAATACACCAACACTGCTGTGACCTGGCCAGTCTGGAGCAGAGAAAACTAGACTAGGTGGCCACTTTAAGCCAAGGGAGCAGCATGGACCGTCACCCACTCTTGTTCAGTATTTATTCTTAGTATAGGCTGATGGGGCTCCAGTATGGAGTGCCTGAATGGCAGGCACTACAGATGATTGTTGTACTTCCCAGGCATTAGAAGCCTCAACACGAGGTTTTCAGGTTACAGAAGCATAGCATCATAGAATCATAGAATGTCTTGGGTTGCAAGAGACCTCAATGATCATGAAGCTCCAACCCCCCACACTGCTTGCTTTTACGGAAGGAAATCTGGTAGACTAGAAAACGGGCTGTGCCGCTGTGATCGCGTCCCCACATCCCCCCAGTACCACCCTCCGTCTCCTTCTACCTCTTTTTGTCCATCCCTCTCCTTGCCCCGTCCCTTCCCACCCCCGTCCTCGCCCCTCGCTCTTTCCCACCTCTTCTCACTTCCCCAGGCTTCTGGCTCCCATTGCTTCCTACCCATTCCCCTTTATCCCTCCCAGCTGCAGCGTTTCCCCCCGCTCCGCGCAGGCCCCCTCCTCGCCGCTGCTCCCCGGCCCCTTCGTGACCCGTGTCCCGTATCCCGCGTCCCACCACGTCGACCCACCTCCGCGGACCCCAGTCCGGGGCCGCGCTTCGCCGGCGCGCTCCGGTGGCGGGGCGGGGATGGGGGCGGCGGGGGGAGAGAGGGGCTGAGGGCGGCGCTGGGTCGGGTTTCAGCAGGAGCCTCCGCGCCGAGCCAGCGCCGACCCGCCGCCTGCAGCCGAGCTCTGCGCGGGGCGGCTGCGGCACCGGGGCGGCCGCGGCACCGGGAGGCCGAACTCCGGGAGGACGGGGTGCGGGCACGGCGCCGGAGGGCACCGGAACACACTGAGGGTACCGGAGCGGCCGGCGGTACCGGAGTGGTGTCGACACCAGAGCGCCGGGGTATTGGGGTGCCGGGGTACCGGCGCGGCTGCGGGACGTCTCGCCTGGACCGGATCGTGCGGGATGCGAGCTCTGCCAGCGCGGGACGCGAGCTGTAAGTGCCAGCGCCAGACCGATCCGCTCCCGCCGCCTCCCCGCCTTCAACCGCTGTGCCGCACATCCGCATCAGCGCACGCCGGGCCGGGCCGGACTGGACCGGGCGCTTTGTTCTGCCTCCGCCGCGCAGACAATGGGGGGGGGGCTGGGGGGGTGCGCCCGCGGCGGCGCAGCACCGCGGATCTGCGGCTGGATCGGCCGATCAGCCTCGCCCGCTGGGAGCGGGACGGTGCGGGAACAGGAGCGGCGCCGGGACGGAGAGCCGCAGGCTGAGCCGGCGCTGGGCGGGCGTTCGGCGGTCACGGCGGAGGAGCCACGGAGGCGCCGGGTGGGGGCTGCGGGCCCGAGCGGAGCGGGGGCTGGGGCGGGCGGTGTGCTGGAACGGAGACTGCGGCGTGCGGGGAGAAGCGGGAGAACCCCGGAACGGCGGTGTGCGCGGGCACCGGGAGCGCCAGGAGGAGTGGACGCCTCGTGTCTGGGCAGCCCCGAAAGGCAGGGAGCCCCAACAGCCGCCGGGGGAGACGGCCTGGAGCCCCGAGAGATGGAGAGCCCTAAGGACAACCGGGGAGCGCCAGGGGCCGGGCAGCCCGATGGCCAGAGAGCCTCGGGACTCCAGGACAGCTCTGCAGTGGGCACGCAGTGTGGCAGAGCACAGCCAGTGCTGAGATGCTTGTGGGCCGGGACTGTGGGAACTGGCTTTTGCGTGAGGAGCTTTTATTAGAGCTTCCTTTGTAGGGATAGTGTTTTCAGAGACAGGATAGCCTGAAGGAAGCCCTCGTGTGGCACAGAAATTGAATCCACAGGGATGAAGTGGAGCTTGACTGCATCCTTAGAGAATGGCTACCACTGCTGGTCACTGCTTGTTTTAATGTTAGAAGGAGATTAGGCTGTGCGGCAACTGTGGGAGTGAGCAAAAGAGATGCTGGTGTTGCAGATGCAGGTGTAAGGTGATAGGGCTGGGAGGCATGGAGATGGCTGTAGGTCATAATGGACAGCAGAGGTTGAAAGTTTTTAGACTAGGGCTGCACTGCAGGCAAGGCTGGACTGTGCTTGGCTTTGGGAAAATCTGGAAGTCTTGAGAGACACCTGCATGAATGTAGAACAGAAGAGCATATTCCAGCACAGTGAGTGGTGCCCAGCAAAGATGAAATGGGATTCTACATCCTTCCTGATCTGGAGTCTTAAAAACATCATTGGATGAGTCATGGCCCCTCGTGAAGTTTTGGGTATGGCATCAGCAGCATGTGCAGCTTTGATGGAGCTTTTGCACAGCAAGCACTCTGAAATCTGTTTGTGGCATGCAGAGTGGGTGCCATCTTTCCAGCTTCTCTGCCAGTGCTGGGGTGGGCCTGCTTTCCCTTCTGCGTGACTGACATGAGAAGCAGTGCCACTGGCAGGCTTGCAGGCAGGGATTCATGCATTGGTCCTTCTGTAGTTCCTTATGCATTTTTTCTAAACATGGCTCATCTCCTAAGTGTGGTTTCGGCTCTCCTAATGCCTTGGCATATCAGCCCCAGGCCTGGAAATGCATCTGTGCATTGCAGCACCCTTCCTGTCAGCCCTCTTACTGTGGCTCTGGACCCCAACCTCCTCTCCGGACAGACTGTGATACTCACCGTTCCTTCAGAGGCTCTTGCTGCCATTTGTTACTAGGAAACTCAGTGCCCGGTAGTGGGAGGGACGGGAGGGGAGCAGGGCAGTCCGGCTCACATTACACAGGCTGGGCTTGGACCAGTCAAGCCAGCCCCTCGCGCTGAGCTATCTGCTAATTGGAAGCAGCTGTTCGGATTTGGTGACTCTGCATCAACTGAGGTTACTGCTGTCTTCCTTGCTGTCCCAACCCTGCAAGTCTCATAGGAATAAGGGCTGCCGGTACCACGGACGGCCTTCTGCCCATACTGGACCTGTGCAGTCTGGCAAGCAGGCAGTCACATCTCTTTCCCAGGAGGTAGCAAAGCTCTGAGTATGCATCCAGGAAGGAGGGAAAGGGAGAAGTTTACACACATTTTATCACCCCAGAAATCTGACTTTGTATTACTCAGTTGCCCCAGTGCTCTCAGCTGCTCTTCACACTCCCCATTCATGTTCCCAGTTTCCCCATTCCCACAGCAACAGTCCACAAAGCCTTGCTGCTCTCCCTTCTGCTTTCCAAGAGTGACATCAATAATCAAACCAGGGCAGGCTCATTTCCCCATATCTGTGCCCTAACCTGTGCCAGGCACTACTCAAGACATTTCAGCTTTATCCCATCCTCAGCCACTGAGATCCCCTCATTGCGTCCCTCTTTTTGTTACTCTACTAGTTTTTCTACTCTCCTTTTACTTAAGTTTTAATTTACCCACCTGCCAGGGCTTTGAACTCTGCCCTGTACCTCCCCATGACCCGAGCAGCTGGGTTACAGTTAGGATGATGCAGTTGCATCACAGAAGCAAATTTGGACCCCGTTCTCCCAATTCTAGATGTATGTAATTATTCTGAGGAAGTTTCATTAACTTCCAAGAGGAAGAGCAATGGACTTGGCTAGGACTATTGAATTGGTGCAGCTCACCAGCTAGCAGTCCTCAGGAATGTGTAAATTCTTTGGACTTCTGTTCCTGAGAGATGATGAAGATTCGTGTTTGCTAGGTGCAAGAGCAGTACGTGGCACTACTTGCCACAGGCATCAGGCACCGGGGGTATGCACTGGTTTCTAGTTCCTGTAGCCCACTGAGGTAAACATTCTTTTATACATAGGGAACACTTTTTTAGACTTTTATTTCTGTCACCAACCCACAATTTCTGCAAGAAAAATCAACCTAACAATTGTCCTGAGGTGGGAAAGAGGGCCAACAAATAATGGTACCAAATCTCTCAGAAAGGGTTGGCACTGCTGTAGAGTTCTGCAGACCAAAGGTTGCCATTTGTAGTCCCCAAACTAGGCAGCACGAGCCTCCTCTGTCCCCCCAAGACAGGGAGGTTCTGCCGTCCTACGTCTGCCATGAGCTGCTCCTGAGTGTGGTTATGGGACCAGCAGCAAATGCTTTCAAGAGAGTCCAAGTGTGAGCTCATGCTGCCGCCATCCCTGCAGACCACTAAGCCTCGTTTACCGTCGGCTCAGAGCGGCACTGGGGCTGGTGTTGTACATGAACACTTTGACTGCTGAGTTGCTCTGGCTGCTTGTAGGGAGGGTGGGCAGAGCCCTGAGGGGCTCACAGGCTTTGGGTACCGCACGTATGTCCAGCATGTCCAGCAGTGCTGTTGCTGCAGGGAGCTGCTCCTCCCTTCTTGTCCCTCCCCCACTGCTGCAGTGAAATGAAGCTACAGCAGGGGGAAATGGAGTGAAGGAGCCAGAACGAACAAGGAGCAGCGAGAAGGAGACAAAGGAGGAGAGTGAGCAGTGGAGAGTGTGGGACGGGGAAGGAGCCAGGGCAGCTGGCAGTTCAGAGGGAGTTGCTGCGTTCCTACTGTACACCACCACCCTCCATGGTACCAGCTTGGGGCATCCACAGATCTCCTTTCCTGGTTAAACAATGGGCCTTGTCTGCCCTAGGAGGACAGGGTTTTATCCTGGGCATTCCCGGCTGTGGGTATGTCCTTTGCAATAGAGCCATTCTGATTTATTGTTCTCTGGATGTAAGCCCATTCCAGTTCTGCTGCACCCCACCAGGGACACCCGATTTGCACTTCGCATTTTTTTTGAACCTAAATCCCTGTAGTCATGAAAAGCAAGCTACTGGGGAAGGGGGGTTCGACAGGGTCACTTGTTGGGATTGCTCCCAGTTTTAAGACCATATTTTTCAGGATAGAGGTGCTAGGCTGCTGCTTGTCCAAAAATCTCTGTGGTCTTGCAGACACTGTTTCTCAGCTTTGCAGGAAGCATTCAGCTGTTAAAGGCACAGGAACCAGCTGGCTCCGGTGTTGCCAGGAAGGTTGCTAGTTGGGAAGAATACTTGGCTGTGTAGGAAAAAACCGATGTGACAGAGTACCAGCTGGTAATACCAGCACATGGCCAGGTTTGCTTTGCTTGGTGACGTTAGGTGCTGGCCTGGGGCTTCATTCCCTTTCCTTCACACCCTTTGCTCTAACAAATTTTTGACTCATGAGGGATAAGTGATACAGAGCAATCAAGCAGAAGGTACCTGGCAGGCTTTCCCTCCCCACGTTCTTATTCTGTCCTTCATTTGCTGCTCTCTTTCTTAACCAGCTTCCTCTGGTCTGCATTCCTTGCAGGATTAAAAAGTGCTGCAAAGAAGATCAAGCAACCTTCTGCTCTGCAAGTTACTAGCAATGGAGCAGATGAAAGGGTCGGCCATGCTTCTGTTGGAGCTGCTAATTCTTGGGGGCCTGAGAGCAGAGAAGGGCTCTGCTGTCCTGGGTACCCTGGATCTACAAATAGATGAGGAGCAGCCAGCTGGCACCATCATTGGGGACATCAGTGCTGGCCTGCCTCCTGGCACCAGTGCCTACATGTACTTCATATCAGCACAGGAGGGCAGTGGAGTTGCCACTGACTTGTGGATAGATGAGAACAGGGGCATCATCAAAACAGCCCGTGTCCTTGACCGAGAGACCCGGGACCATTACAGCTTCATAGCTGTTACCCCCGAGGGCATCACAGTAGAAGTGAATATCCAAGTTAATGACATCAATGACCACGCTCCAGCCTTTCCCAAGCAACACAGCACTTTCCAGATCCCAGAGCACACACCTGTTGGCAGCAGATTTCCCTTGGATCCAGCCTTTGATGCTGACAGTGGCCTGCTCAATACCCAAGGCTATGTGATTAAGGGTGACAATGTGGGGCAGGCCTTCCGTCTGGAAACACGGCGAGGACCCAATGGGGTCCTGTTTTTAGACCTGGTGGTCAACAATGTCTTGGATCGGGAGAACCGTTCGTCGTACTCCCTGGTGCTGGAAGCCTACGATGGGGGCTCTCCTCCCAGGAGCAGCCAAATGACGTTGGATGTGTCTGTCCAGGACATCAATGACAATGCTCCCACCTTCAACCAGAGCCGCTATCATACTCTCATATCGGAGAATTTGAAACCTGGCAGTAGCATCCTGCAGGTCTTTGCATCTGACGCGGATGAAGGAGACAATGGTGATGTGATTTATGAGATCAACCGGCGACAGAGTGATCCTGATCAGTACTTCACCATTGACTCCCGAACTGGAGTCATCAAACTTAACAAGGGTCTGGACTATGAAGTCAGGAAGGTGCACGAGCTGGTGGTACAGGCACGGGACAGGGCTGTCCACCCTGAGGTCACCACAGCCTTTGTCACTATTCACGTGCGCGACTACAATGACAACCAGCCCACAATGACCATCATCTTTCTGAGCGAAGATGGCTCCCCTCAGATCTCTGAGGGAGCCCAGCCTGGTCAGTATGTGGCACGCATCTCTGTTTCTGACCCAGATTATGGAGAGTACTCCAACGTCAATGTCACTCTGGAGGGGGGAGATGGCAAGTTTGCCCTCACTACAAAGGACAACATCATCTATCTTATCTGTGTGGACCAGCTTCTGGATCGGGAGGAAAGAGACTCCTATGATTTGCGAGTGACAGCTACTGATTCGGGAACACCTCCACTCCGAGCAGAATCAACCTTTGTGCTGCAGGTGATAGATATCAATGACAATCCTCCACTCTTTGACCAGCAGGAGTACAAACAGAGCATCCCTGAGGTTGTGTACCCAGGTAGCTTTGTCCTGCAAGTGACCGCTCGAGACAAAGACCAGGGTCCCAACGGGGAGGTGCAGTACAGCATCATGCATAGCCAAGACACCCATTCTAGCTGGTTTGCCATTGACCCTGCCACAGGTATCATCACCACTGCTGCCCCACTGGATTACGAGAAGGATCCTCAGCCTCAGCTGACAGTGCTGGCCACAGACAGGGGGACCCCTGCCCTCTCTTCTTCAGCTGTGGTGCTTGTGGCCCTGCAGGACGTCAATGACAACGAGCCGGTGTTCAGGAGTAATTTCTACAACGTGTCCCTGAAGGAGAACACCCCTGTTGGTACCTGCTTCCTACAGGTAGGTACAGCTGTCAGGAGCTAAGCTTGAGGAGGGTACAGCCAGGGCTGTGAGAGGTTGGAGATGAGAGACATGCTGCTGAAGGATGTTTGGTGCAGATTTCATGGCTTCGACAGGCAGAGAACTGTTCCCTCACTGTGAGCAGGAAGCGTGGCAGAGCACTGTTACACATCTTCTGCATGCTGGGGGATATCTTTGATGCCAGAGGCAGATCTCAAGTAATCCCTTTGTGCAAAGCTCAAATTTGAGCTCAGCTCACACTGTGGCCTACTCTGACAGGCATTGCTTGCACAAGTGTGGAGCTGTCCTTGTCAGCCCAGAGTACCAGCAACAGTGCTGAGGAGCGAGGTCAGGCCTCAGAAGCTGCTTGTGGCAGGGTTGGTAACTTCTCTCTCCCTCTGGTGATGGACAGTAGCATTAATTATGCATGAATGCTACTGTTATATTACTTCAGAAGCAGCATCTTTGGGATTTGAGCTGAGAGGCACGTGCTACATCAGTCTCTGTGTAGTGAGCACATGTGAGTCCTGGAGGGAGTTGCTGCCCCACTGTTAGCTCTCATGGGGGCTCAGCTGTGCCAGCTATTTCATCAGCATGACCCTGCAGGGTCTGTCAGGGCAGCACAAGGTCTGTCCCTGTGGGACAGGTGGGGCCAGAGCCATGCTGGGACAGAGGTCAGGAGGAGGCCGAGGATGGCCATGGGCTCTGGGACAGGGCAGGAGTGGTGTTGCCCTGGGGGATATGGAGGCCTCAGGTGCTTGCAGGGACAACTCAGCTGCGGTGGATCCAGCGGAGGCCCCTCTCATTCTCAGTGCCATCCTGCTCAGTGCTGCTTGCTGTAAGGCAGGAAGGCATTCTGGAAATATAGCTGGCAGTGAAGGCTGGGCTTCTGGCTGCAAGTGCAAGGACAGGCAGGAGGGAGGTGGGATCCTGGAGGAGCTGGGAAGATGTGAGACTGTGGGGATGCCGTGAAGATACTGGTAGGGCCACAGGGCTGGGCCGTGCTGAAACTCGGTACGGCAGTGAAGCCATCCTGGTCTGCACAGCACTGCACAGGGGAGGCACCCGTCCAGCAGCCGGCAGGGTCTGAGGGGTTGGACAGGTTTCGATGGTCTTGGCTTGGCCCTCATGTTTCATTTGGAAACAGTGCATCTGGGCTGAGCACAGGTAACTCCCTCGTGGCCTCAGCACAAAGCAAACAGCACACACATCTGCTGCTGCTTCCTCTGAGCCGGGAAATGTGAGAGGATGGGAAAGGAGGCCGGCCAGGCTGCCGACTCAGCACCAGGCCACAGCAGGCACAGGCCAGGCTGAGGAGCTGGCAGAGCTGGGGCAAGGAGCCATGTCTGAGCTGCCCAGTCCAGCCACCCCTGCCTGGAACATTCCGTAGGTCACACATCAGCTGTGCAGCCCCACAGACCCTCTGTTTGCCCTGCTTGACTTCATCTCTCTGTGACTTCCAGGCATCAGGGCTTGTCTTGCCTTAGGGTCCAGACCTGCATAATGCTAATTAGAGCCCAGGCCACAGGCAGCCCTTGCTGACATGTCCTGCAGGACAAAGGCAGCTGCTAAGGCTGACCCAGAACGGGAAGGGTTTTGTTCTCCATCAGACCATCAAGTTTCTAAGTGAGAAACCATGGAGGACCAGTTCTACTTTTGGACATTGACATCTGCTCTCTGTGGGCAGGACAGAATGATAGGGAGATAGAGAGTCCACATAACTGACCAGGGTACCAGCTGCAAGTCTCCTGCATCCCAACAACATCCCATTCTCTCTGCCAGGGTGTTCTTCATGTTTGATGTACAAACAGGGCTGAGCAGAGCAGATTGGTGGCCTGAGCATCTGAGAAAGAAAAAGAATCACACAGAATCACACAGAATGGCCAGGGTTGAAAGGGACCTCAAGGATCATGAATCTCCAACCCCCCTGCCGCATGCAGGGCCACCAACTTCCCTGTTTAATGCTAGACCAGACTGCCCAGGGCCCCATCCAATCTGGCCTTGAACATCTCCAGGGATGGGGCATCCACAACCTCTCTGGGCAGCTGTTCCAGCATCTCACAGGAAAGAAATCTCAACATATTTATTTATTACTTATGTTTATCATGGGTCAAGTCCTACAGTAACTGACCTTGCATGTGCCTAAGCAAAGGAAATAGCAAACCACAGTTCAAATCTGAGATGAGAGAAAAACACAGGCACAGAAGGAGCCTAAGTAACCAGTGAACACAAGACCATCAAACAATAGAGCAGGGGGCAGTCACTAATCAGTTGTCTCTGTTTCATTGTGTAGACATGAGCTGGTAATACAGATCATAGAATCATAGGATGGTTTGGGTTGGAAGGGACCCTTAAGATCATCCAGTTCCAACCCCCTGCTCTGGGCAAGGACACCTCCCTCTAACCCAGGTTGCTCATAGCCCCATCCAGCCTGGCCTTGAGTGCTTCCAGGGGCAACCTGTTCCAGTGTCTCACCACCCTCACAGGAAAGAATTTCTTCCTAATATCTAGACTAAATCTGCCCTCTTCCAGTTTAAAACCATTTCCCCTCATCCTGTCACTACATGCCCTTATAAAAAGTCCCTCCCCAGCTTTCCTGTAGAACCCTTCAGGTACTGGAAGGCCACTCACCATAAGGTCTCCTCGCAGCCTTCTCTTTTCCAGGCTGAAGATCCCCAGCTCTCTCAGTCTGTCCCCACAGCGGAGGTGCTCCAGCCCTCTGATCATCTTCATGGCCCTCCTCTGGACCTGCTCCAACAGCTCCATGTCCTTCTTGTGTTGGGGGCTCCAGAACTGGACACAGAATCACTTCCCTCACCCTGCTGGCCACACTTCTCTCAATGCAACCCAGGATACCGCTGGCCTTCTGGGCTGCAAGCACACATTGCCAACTCATGTTGAATCTTTCATCAACTGACATCCCCAAACTCTTCTCCTCAGGGCTGCTCTCAAGCCATTCTCCATCCATTCTGCATCTGTGCTTGAGATTGCCCTGACCCAGGTGACCTTGCATTTGGTCTTGTTGAACTTCATGAGGTTGGCATGGATACTTTAAGGCTCATCAGATCGCATTCAAGTGCTGTGTTTACATGATGTGGAACTTTGTTCTGTTATAAATTCACTCTGCTGGCTTATATTTGTTTTAAACATTCTGTTGCATTGACATTGTACCAAGCTGCATGCATGGTCAGATACTTTCTTTCTGGGCCTTTCTAACTTTTTAAGCTGAACCAAGTATTATCTGTCCTCTGGCAGCCTGCATAAAGCAGAGAGAGTTGTGTAAACCTCATGTTGTGAGCAGTGGTTGATTTGACTGAAATGTGAATGAGATGAGATGGTAGATTATTGACTCCTATATAGATCCAGAATTAATGATTTTGGAACCAGGGTTTACATATTTCACTTGCACCCATACACACAATTGTTAGGGAAGAAGAACATCAGCAATGACCAACTGCATATATAGTGTGTATCCTTTTCTTACAATTTTGAGGACAAGTCTGATGAGCTTTGAAGCCCGAGTACAATTTTTTGATTCTGTGGGGTGGGCTGTGCTGCATGTATAGCACTTGCACAGCCTCTGGGGCTGTGCACTACATAGCACAACCTGCATGAAGTGCTCTAGGCTAAAGCAGGCTACAGTAATACAGAGTCTTGAGGGATAATCCTGATGCATCGATTATGGCACTGAAGAGGAATATTTGTGAGAGAACACAGAGAGCAGCCACAGATGGGGACCAGAACAGCAGGAGGACTAATGGTCACTGATTCTGCTGCCAAGGAGAGCGGGAGGATGCTGCTGTGTGCATTCGGTTTCTTGGGACAAGAGCTTTAGCATTTACCTATTTTCAGGTTTTTGCACGACACAGAACAGGCCTTCTCCTCTTCTGAAATAGGAAGACAAGCTTTCTGAGACAAAATGAGGAGATGTCTGTGAGCTAACTAGGGATCAGCGTGAGGGGAGGGAGTGCATCATGCTTCTGAGAAAGGGACCATCGTGTGGATGAATCTGGGGTGCAGAGGGACAGGGTACATGGGGGAGATGCTGGTACACAGGGAGGTTTTGGGGGAGGTGAGTGCTGTTGTTACCGCCAGAAGAGCTGCATTTGTTCCAAATTCCTGTGAAAGTTATTTCCTTGTGCTGCCAGCAGCCTCCTCCTGGGCTTGGCACAGCAGCCAGCGCCATGATTAATTCAAGTAGCATTTCCCCTGGAGCTGCAGCAGCTTTTCCACTGCAGCCGAGAGGCCCCAGCCCCTCGTGCTCCTCTCCCCCCATGCTCTGCTCCTCCCCCAACCCCCTCCACAGATCCCTCCTTCCTCTGCTCTGATCCCCAGCCCCCTCACAGCTGCCCCTCTTCCTTCATCTATGCTTTGGCCCCAGGTCCCCTAGAACTCCCCTTTCTCCTACAGTCCTTGCTCACACCCTCCCTCCTCCACGCCACCCGCAGCCTCTCACCTGTGCACACTACCCCCCAAAGTGCCCAGCCCTGCTTCTCCCCTCACAGAGCCCCACAGTATGCTCCCCCTCCCCTTCCCTTAGTCTCTGCTCCCTCCTCTTCTCTCCACACCCCTTGATTGCTGCCAGCTGCTGATGTCTGCCCCCAAGGGACCCTTGCTGTTTTACCCCCAGGACAGTTCTCACTGGCAGTGCTCTCCCTCATGGGCATGGCCCTGGGGCACCCCAGCATCTTCTGTTCCCCATCCCTTTCAGCTGTTCTCCCTCTGATACACCAAGCTCCAATCTCCAAGCTCATACATCTTTGCCTGACTGTGTCCTGTCCTGCTGTGTAGGCACAATCTGCCAGCTCTTGCTGCCTGAGCTCTGTGCAGTCAAATTCCAGCCCAGCAACCCACTTTAAAGTCCTTGGCATCAGTGTCCCCCAGCAGGTTGCATCCAGACCCTCTGACATCCTACCCTACACTGCTGCTGCCCTGCTTGAATCCCCTTGAGACTTTTTTTGCAGTCCTATTTTCTCCCCTGCTCAGCACCCAAACTCTTC